AACAAAAAGAACAAAACAAATAGGCAATCTTCTGGGATATTTAATATTTATTTAATTCACAATCACCTGGCCTTTTACCCCTTCCTCAGATACAATACATGCAGATCTTATGGCTCTCACTCCTACTGTTTCTTATTCACTCTTGAATTTAGAGTACCCAGTGGAAGAGTCATATAGAGACAAACTGCAAGCTCTCATAGGCTTCAACTGCCACACTAGGCATAGACAGGACCCCATCTTCAACTCAAGAGGCAGATGCCACAAGAAGTAAATGAAGTTTCTGTCTAAAATGTAACCCACAGGAAAAGCAGGCCTTATCAGTCTTCAAATAGCAATCAGTTTTAAACTATAGATACAATATTTTTGTTTCTCACTTTTCAAAGGTAGCCATTTTAGATAGCTAAATGGTCAAAGCTGATTTATGAGAACTCTAAAATGAAACTTATCAGCCATCAGATTAAAGAACCTCTGGACCCAGACAGGTCAATGAGACACGATGAGTCTCAAAGACACAGGTTTGGGAATGTTTCTTGATTCAAGGGCTGCTCTTGGATCCGGAGGTATCTTTCAGACAAGTACGCTTGGATATTTTGAGTTAGGTGGGCTTGTGCTATTTGACCTGACATTCTCATTTCATCTTTATTGTCTTGCTTCCAATTGTTTGAAGGACTATTAGTATAATAATATACAATCATATTAGCATATAATATTATATGTCATAAAATCACAATTATATTATTATAATTATTAATAACAATTATAATAGTATAATAATTATATTATACTATAATATTATAATACAATCATATTAATGTGTGTAAATTGACTATCAGCAGCAGAATTTATTTGGTCATTCTATGTGAGGAATGCAAAAAGTTAAGATGTGTATTTATTAAATGCAAATAAGGCAAAATTCACATAAAATTCCATGTGGAGAAAAAGATGAAACAATTTTGTAACATGCCAAATAAAAGGAATCTAACAACATTTCCCAAATTTTATGCCATACAACACTAATCCTGAGAATTTCTCTAGAAAAGAAACTGAAAATTCTGTCTTCAAATAAGTTTGAGAATCACTTTACCATACTTGCTTATCTATAAGATTCATGATATGCCTCAACAAAACAAAGGCTATAAAACAGCCTATAGAAAAATAGAACTATTTACCTTTATTTAAACTAGTATTTGCCACATTTACTTTAACATCAAGCTCTTTTCATTAATGCCTATTAATATCATAGACACAGGGCTCAACAGAATACATACTGTATTTCTATTCCTATAGAGCTATTAAAACTAGGTCATAGTTTGTAATAAAACCAAAAATATGCATAATAATTTTTATCTTGTGCAGTATAATTATAGCTGTCATATTCTTTAAGTTGTCCATGTTTTCTTCACAAGAGAAAATTTATTTTTTTATTTTCTACATTGCAATGGAGGTTTATTTCTGCATCTTTCTACATGGGTGTCATCTTTCCCTGGAGAAACGTTGGTTTCACCCAGTAAAGGACAAATCATAGTTAGCTTTGAGTTCAAAAGACACATCTACACACTTACTTCATGTACTTTCTATTTTTCCTGGTTCCTTTTCCCAAGGCATTTAACCACAGAAGCTACAGACAGATGCAACCCTGAGAGACTGGCCTACCCATAGGAGTCTGAGATGAGAAATCACTTGCATTAAACACAAGGGACCAAATCCCTGGAAAAACTGGCCAAGATATAGAAGTCTTCAGTCTATTTAGGCTTTTTATATAGGTAATATTTGAATCTTTTCTTCCAAATTATGAATTGGAGACTGCTCTCAAAGTCTTGTCCAGACACCTTCTAGACATCTCTCCTGATGAGATTCTTGTCCGCTATTACAAGGTTAATTGTACAAAGAGGTATTTTTTTCCAGGGAAATTCACAATTTTGAGACTGAGGGTGAGAAGAAAAGACACAAGAAGCTGGTGTGTAGTTCTTCCCAAGTTATAGTTCCCAGATATACAAAAAGCACACCATATCCCCTGCAGTTTTTTCTAGAGAGATAATCCTAATTCTTGTTGTTTTTGGTGGCTTCCTTAATAAAAATTCTGAAGGATAAAAGTCAAATAGCTTTAATGCCTGAGAAAAAAACATGTTTATCATAAATTGAGAGAAGTACAGATGAGTCTGTTTTCTAAGATGTTAATTTGTCTAGTTTTTCACAACTCTAAGTAAACTACAGTATGCTATATTTTGAAATAAGAAGAACTTATTTATTTATAATCAATAGCCCACACAAAATACTACGAAACAAGAGACTATTTCCCTGGTTATGTTTCAGGGATTGTATCTATGTATGTCCACAGGGTTCCAAAGAGAATCAGATCTGAAACAAGAGGCGCAATAAATAGTTGCCATGCACTGAGAAGTCCTAGTAGGGTAACAAATTAGGAAACCACATTAGTCTTAAAGTATTTCATAAATGCAGTTTTAAAAACTAAAGAATGTTGGCCTTTTGTGTTTTTCTTTTACTCTCGTATACATAAAATTGTCTAACTAGTGAATAGCCAAAGCTGGGGAAATCTCACTAATGTGTTTTTCTGGTGAAATAGCATCTACAATTCCACTTCAAGCTGAGAGAAGCACATCCAGGGAGAAATCCTCACCAAGCCTAAAGCAGTGACCAATGGGAAAAAATTCAAAGCTCTTAGAAGAAAAGTCAAATATAGATGAGAATGTGATTGCTGGGAAAAGCGAAGTGTTTCTATCTTAAGTAAGGGAACCAAATTAATCATTTTAGGTCTTGCTTTCCCTTAAATTTCTACACATTTTCTTCATTAGACTGATCATCCAGAGACCAGATCATTAAATCTTGTAAAATTTTCAACTCTCTCTAGATCAGATGTAAATTCCTAATTTCTCCTTAAATACCAAGTCCATCAGTATTTCTGGTTACTTTCTCCAATGATATTTCTCCTTTTTCACAGGGTCCTTTTCTTCTAACAACATCTTTACAGAAATTTGAATCAATAGTTACCTAAAGTGCACTGCAAGAGCAGAGGAAGGCAGAATCACCCAAAGGAAACTTCTGGGTCCAAAAGTCCTGAAATGACAGCTTAACTAAGTCTTGGGGAAAATATAATTATCAGGTGAGCATCTCCCTACTCTTGGACCTTGTCCACGTATTTCCACAAAAATTTCATGTCCAGACTGGCTTCAGTTGGCAATTAGATTGCTTGCACTGCAGTCTCTAAAAAGGAATTTAAGCAGCACTGTTCTTCCCAAATGTCTTCTCAGTACTCTCATGGGTCATACTGAGATTTTTTTTTCCTCTCAGTAGAAAACTGAAAGAGCAGGACCTCATTGGAATACAACTGACCAGTATATTTTTGAGGTAGGCTGAATCAGCCTCAGGATCTCATGTAGTAAGACCAAACTATCTTATTTTCCTGGGCCTGAAGGGGTTCCTGAGATGTAACACTTTCAGTTGTAAAATGTGGACAGTCCCAGCCAAACAGGTAGGTTTGAGTACTCTAATGCTATACTATAGTGGTATCCACTTCCTCTTTTTGGCATGCCCTAGCTCTCATCTTCCCATACCTCCCAGCTTCCAGGTACAAGAAAATGGTTATTCTTGTATGTGGACTAAGGCTACCAGGTAGAAAGATACCTGAGTTAAGATTCAATTCAGGTCATAAATAAAGACTTATTTAATAAGCAATTACAAAACACATACTGTTTACAAGATGATGTGTTAGATACTGAAAGGGGGCCAGGGATGTAGCTCAGTGGTAAAGTGCTTACCTCATATGCAAGAAGCCTTGGGTTTAACCCCAACACTCCTAACAAAGCAAAGCAAAAACTGAAAAAGAATCCAGATAATTAACACATAACTCATATTCTTGGGGATTCATATTGTAGTACATAAATTAATATATGAAAAACTCCATGATAAAGTAAAAGCTCTGTTACAAAAAAAAAATCTATAGCTCTTAGGTTACTGTTCATTTCTTCTAACTTAAAGTGATGATTCATATGTTTACTGTTAATTTGACAAATTTGTTGGCATGTCTATGAAGTGTTCTTTACTGTGTTAGGTGTTAATTATATACAAGGGCACCTAATACAGTGTATTTTAAAATTTTTTAAGTTTATCACGGTAAAAGACCCTGTGCCATTAATCTTCCTCAGAACATTCTTTCTTTTTTCAATACATTTATCCCATTATTCTTGCCACATTCTGAAGCAATTCTGGAAGTCTTCATTTGTATAATATATGCTACTGCTGAGTGCCATCCAATGGAAAGCCAGGCTCATAAAAATGTTATGTTCTGTCTTCATCCACCTTATTCACTGGATCTGGCACCATGCAACTTCTGGCTCTTCTCCAAAGTTAAAATCACCATGAAAGTTCTATGTATGATTTGAATAGATTTAGGACTTTGAGGCAGCCAAGACAGGCAACCAAAGACATGAAAGAGGACTCCAGAACCCCTTCAGAAAGTGGCAAGAATGATAGCACAAATGTATTCAAAGTGAGCCGGAGTATTTTGAGAGGGATTAATGGCAATGTGTCTTCTACTGTAATTTTTTTTAATTTAAACTCATATTGTATTTTGACTATACCTTGTAAGTATGAAAAATACAAATTCCTCTTTCCATGAAGCTCACATGATAGTATAAAGATATAGAAGTGAACAGTTATGACAAAGTATAATTTGATAAGTTAATACACATATACATTAGATGCTATAGTAGAAAAAATAATTAGTACACAATTGTGCTGTCCAACAATACTTTGTGAAAGAGATGATTCGTGAACAGTACAAATTGGAAGTACCAATTACTCAAGCCAAAACAGAAAAGTAAATAAATAGTTCAAAAGAGAGAGAATGAATTCAAGAGGATACAGGTAAAGAGAGGAGGATAAGGAACTAAGCATAGATGAAAAAGGTCTTGTTTATTATGCTGAGTTGTTTGACTTTGACCTCATATAGATGCCGTCTTGCAGCACAGCTTACCAACTAAATGAACATCTCTATTGTGGGATCCTCTTCCGGGATAGTGAGTGAATTCATCCTTCTGGGCTTCCCCTGCAGCAGAGAAATTCAGTTCATCCTGTTTGTGTTCTTCTCTATCGTCTACATCTTGACTCTCATGGGAAACGGAACCATTATCTGTGCTGTGTGTTGGGATCAGCATCTGCACACCCCCATGTACATCCTGCTGGGGAATTTCGCATTCCTGGAGATCTGGTATGTCACTTCCACAGTCCCCAACACGCTGGTCAACTTCCTCTCAGAGACCAAAGTTATTTCTTCCACTGGATGCTTCTTACAGTTGTATTTTTTCTTCTCCATGGGCTCCACTGAGTGCTTCTTTCTCTCAGCAATGGCCTTTGATCGATACATTGCCATCTGTCATCCTCTGCATTATGCCATCATTATGACTGGACAACGCTGTTTCAACATAGTGATCTCCTGTTGGGTGTGCGGTTTTCTCTGGTATCTGGTGCCTGTTATTCTTATCTCCCAACTGCCTTTCTGTGGCCCTAATGTAATTGATCACTTTGTATGTGATTCTGGCCCATTGCTGACCCTCTCCTGTGCTCCTGCCCCTTTGTCCAAGCTCACTAGCTACACTCTAAGCTCCCTCATTATCCTTCTTAGCTTCCTTTTCATCCTCATCTCCTATGCCTTTGTTCTATTTGCTGTTCTTCAGTTGCCCTCAGCATCCAGCCGACATAAAGCCTTTTCCACTTGTGGATCCCACTTGACTGTGGTGCTGCTCTTTTATGGTACCATTATGGTGATGCATGTGAGCCCTGGATCTAGCCACTCCATGTTGATGCCAAAGATCATGACCTTGTTCTATGCAATGGTGACTCCACTCTTCAATCCCCTGATCTACAGTCTCAGGAATAAGGAAATGAAAAATGCTCTGTGGAAACTTCTAGAGAAGTTAAAAATTTCTGTAAAAGTCTTTCCACAGCAGCTCCAGGAGTAGTATAGAATAATTGAGCTTAATATATAGTATGTGGGTGAAATTCCAACTCTTTTACTTTTATACAATCATTCATTCAATAATTATTCATGGATTATCTCCTCTATGTTAGAGACTACTTAACACCAGGCAATGAAGATAATTATGAAGATAATTCAGACACATTCTCTTTCCTCAAATGACAGTACTGTAGAGGAGACAGGCAAGTAAGAAAATAATTACCACAAAATTCAATAAAAGTTCTAGCTGATGTATACACAAGTTGTCACAGGAACACAAAGAAATAATTTTCCCCTGAGTTTTTGTTGTGGGAGAGGACTATTAGGAACAACTTCAGTCACCTTTTTTTTACATGGTAGAGCAAGGGAAAATCCTTGTATTTCTGTTCATCTTCTAGTTTGCTTTATTTTTTCAACCTTTGAAAGGATATAGACTTTGCATTAGAAGTTTACAAAATGTCACATGCCTGTAATCCTACTTACTTGGAAAACTGATGTAGGAGGATTGAAAGTGGCCCATGACACTTATTGAGACACAGTCTAAATAAATAAATTAAAAAGTTTTGATAAGAACTCAATTTTTTCAGGGAGCTTGGTCTGTCACTTACTTTCAACTGTAAAATTGGAATGGTAATTCTTATCCCACAACACAATTAGGGAAATTTTTCAGGAAATTTGAATGATAGTGGATATTAGAGTTCCTTAAGAAGAAACCCTAGCACATAGAAACCATTAAATGGCAACTGAATATGAATAATGATTAATTCTATGTTCTCATGTACTTTATCAGAAACAAAAGAAGTTTCAATCTCATGTGAAAGTTACCCTATTTTTGACAAACCTCTTTTACAACAGACCTCCATCTCAATTCCCTAGGGACATGAAGTATACTATTTCTACGTTTTCAACCAAAACATCATGTGTTTATGTGTTTGATTTTGTTTGATTTTGATTTTGGTTTGTGATTTGTATCTCAGGTGTGTGTGTGTGTGTGTGTGTGTGTGTGTGTGTGTGTGTGTACATGTACATAGGCAGGGTATTTTGGAGAATTTGTCTTGAACAGTCCAGATCCTCAACCTACTAAAGTACATTTCCCTAAAATTGCTTTCTCTAAGAACATGTGTAGCTGAAGCTTCAAATGGTCTTACTTTATACATATTCTTTCATAATTGTTCTTCTGCTGTCTCCAACATAAAATCTGACTTCCATTAATGCTAATCATAATATTTTACATTGCTCAAATATATAAACTGGAGCAGCAAATGATTAATTTAACATACTAATGTCTCCTTTATAAAAATAAATTTAACCATCAGATAACAAATCATATTGTGGTAAGTGGTTTATAATTATTTGTTTTCAACACAAGCAAAGGTGTCCTAATTTAATCTGCTCCAATACAAGAATATGAGGCAGGGATTTAGATACAGGTAGCTTATCAAGAAGTGGTTTTCAGGAAGCCAGAATATGAAATTAATGCATAGTTAGTCCACTTCAACTTCAGAGAATTGTTCATCTAAATAGCAAGAAGTTGAGCACTTATCATCTAGGCATGGTTGATTATGGAAATACTGACTCTTCATGTTTCTGAGACTACATTCACTGCCAGATCAAGCCAGCAACTGTGACATCAGAAAACTTTCATGACTGAAAACTGTTTTTTAAAAAAAGGAAAAGAAAAGAAAATTCTTGCGGAAAAAACAGAAAGACATAGGGACATGACTCCAAGGATGCTGTTAGACTGGTTCTAAACCCCCACAGGAGAGCTCATCAGTTCGCAGTTGAAATCAGAGGTGCATTACAAGACTCAGCAACATCTACTACAGAGGTTACTTAACTGATTATCACCTGGTTATTACATATAATTTTGTAGTTGACAGGCATCATGTAGTAGCAAGAAGTATACTGTTTGAATTCAAACCTTGGCTTCACCATCTATGTGACTTTATTTATACCTCCACTTCCTCAAATTTAAAATAAAGATAATAATTGAACTTCCTTCATAGTGTTGTAAGGATGAATCTGTTTATCAGGGAGTCTGGCAAAGAGTGGAACACCAAAATATCTCCATTGTTACCATATTTCATTCTTTCAGACAAAGGGAATCCATTCTCATCACAATTTGGGAATAGATTTTTCAGAACAAAATAAAATTCTCAATAGTAGAATTGTAATTCTGAACCTGAAAACAATAGCATTAAAATAGAGTAAACTAGTCAAAACATTGTATGCTCAGTTTGCAGGTTGCATAGAGTAAATAAAAAATGCATTCTTGAACCACAAATCAAGAATATCAGTGTATTAAAATAAAGGCAAGATTCCTCAGCAATTTGACTTTTAATGCCCATCTTAACCTGCATCACAAACACAGACACTAGCAATTACTTAAAATGCTATGTAAAAAAATATTTTTATGTAGAAGACATAGGGAAAGTATAAAATTATTAGCATAGCAAAGAGATTATCATCATGACCATAAATATATCCCAGGGCAAACAAAGATTATTAGAGTCACTTATTTCATGAGAAGGATTGAGAATTTGATATCAGGTTTCCACCATATCAAATAATATTTATAGCTTATTGAACACATAGATTAGATCATATTTTTTATTTAGAGGTATAGGGTAATTTTTCATAACTAATCTTTTTGCGATCTTCTTTAAATTTGTAGTTAATTGCTCTCTTCAGGTATTGCTATAGATCATTGTTTCTTAGCTATGATGACATATCAAAATCAATGGGACCATTTTTTTTCAAATTACTCGTGCCCAAACTGTCCTTGGAGTTTTAATTCAGAAGCTTAGGGAAGGGTCTTAAGCTTATCAATTAAAAAGCTATATAACTTAAGTCTTGTGTGCATAACACCTCAGTTAAAAACTACAATTTTGGGTAAATATCTATATTTGACTTTTTGTCTTGTTATGAGTAGAGTCTATGCAATCTTTTCTTCATATTCATCTATATTCCACCAAATATTCTTAGCAATTTCCCAAGGAAAAATAAGTTAGTCATCTGATGTCAAAGAAATAGTGTCTATCTCATCACTCTTGGAGCTCTGGCAGATCTACCACGTTCCAACCATGAGAGTATGGTAGTTTGCTCTAACAGTTCTAACACAATACCATAAATTCAGTAAATAGCAAACATTTCTTACAATTTTAGAGGCTGGTAAATCCAAAAGTAGGACATAACCACACACAAGTCTAGTAAGGACCCACATACTGGAACATAGGTCGTGCCTCCTCCATGTCCTCACATGGGAGCAGAAAGAGAGTCTCTCTGAGTCTTCTTTTATAAGGGTACTAATTTTAGGAATGAGAGTTCTGTTTTCAGGAAGCAGTCACCCCAAAAAGCCCCACTTCCTAGCACCATAATCTTGGGAAGTAGGATGTCAACACATGAATTGTAGGGAGTGGGGAAAAATGAAAACATTCAGACTATAACACTAATGGAGAAGAGAGAACAGCTTGAGCTAATAGGTTAATCAATGCCATACATCTTTTCCTCACAAATTAAAAAAAAAAATTAAATCCCAGCTCTCAGCTTTCCTCTGGGGAAAAGATGGATCAGTACTTCAACTTTTCCAGGGTCCTCAAACTTCTGACATAGTCGATACTAGTCCTGAAGTCCTGATGGATCTGGCAGAGCCTAGCTGCCCACAAGCAATGGAAAAAGTGGTTCAAATTGGAAACCCTATAGATCCTGTCCTTGTTCAACACAAAGTAAATGGACAAAAACTGTCAGTTCTCAGCTTCTTCCTGGGAAGTTAGAGTTAATCCATGAATCTAGTACTCCATATTCATCAGGGCTGGCCAAAGAAATATTATCAGTCCTGAAGATCTGATGGGTCTGGTGCAGCCTAGTCACAGAGGAGAAAATGGAAGCAGTAGTTTTGACCTGCAGACACCACATGGCTCAGCACAAAGGGAGGAGAGAAAAATCACAATCTCTCATTCTCCCTGGGGAAGGGAATATATAGTAAAGGTTCACATATCTGTGCAGACTCACTGGAAAGACTCTTCTTGTATATAAGGCCAGGCAGCAAAGCTTGGGGAAGCCTGGGATAGCGGCACACACCTATAACTATAGTATGCAGACAGGCTGAGGTAGGAGGATTGGGAGATGGGGCCAGTCTGGGCAATTCAGTGATTTAGTTAAGATCCAATCTCAAAAAAAAAAAAATTGTTTTAAGAGCTAGCAATATAGTACTACAAAGGCCCTGGGTTCATTCAAACTAGGGAAGAAGGAGAAGGAGGAGAAGAAGGAGAAGGAGAAGGAGAAGAGGAGGAAGAGGAGAAAGAGGAGGAAGAGGAGGAAGAGGAAGAAGAGGAAGAAGAGGAAGAAAATAAAAAAGAGCAGGAGAAAAATGGCAGAGCAATGAGTGCAAGGAAACCAGTTTTTCCAGGACAAAGTGCTGAAAGTCTGGAAAACAACAGCCCAGAGAAGAAACAAAGTGAGTGGAAGGCACCTAGGAACCAAGAGGGAACTGACAGAGAAGAAGAAAATAGAACTCACTGCTACACAAGAAATAGCTCACCGCTGCAGACCAGAGATTGCAGTGTTGCGGAGCGGCTATGTAGCTGCCCCGGAGGGGAAGCAACTTTGCTGCTGCTCATGGTGAAACGGACACCTGGCCTGGACAGGGAGAATCTTATGCAGTTGGAGGCAGCAATGAGAACCTTAGACATTGTTTCTGAGAGGTCCCCCAGAGTCAAGAGTTGGTGAGTGAGGTGGAACAGCGCGCCTGGCAGGCACATAGTCTCAAGGATCAGAAGGGGGAGGTCAGGGCCGCCATCTTTTTCAAAAGGCTCAAAGGCTGGGGCTTGAACTCTGACAAGGTCACTTCAGTGCCAGCATCCGAGTCTGGAAGTAGGGGAAGAGCCGCCCAGTCACAGTAAGCTGCAGGCAGTTGGACAGCAGACTAGGGGAAAATCTGCTGAGAAGTAGGGGCTTGAAGCACCCAAACTCTTGTGGTTGCCAGAAGCCAGTCTTAGTCCTAGC